ATCTCTAATGGCAATTACAATTACCTTAATAGCTTTAATGGTAGAAATTATTTCCACTGCAGTGTCATTTGAAGATCCACCTTCTACAGAAGAATATTGTGTAAAATGTTGGTGCATGAACAATGATGATGGTGTATCGACCCAAGTCAGGGGCTTTCAGGATTCTTTAGGATGAAGATCCTGTTAGTTTAAAAAATCCTAGATTCCCTGATCAGGAGAAAAAAGTTCACCTAGAAAATAAGCAAACCTTCTCCCCTAAGGCTTAGAAAAAATGCTATCAATGTTCCTGGCTGTGTTTAAGTGAACTTTTCCCTACCCCCAGGTCTATCAAGGAACTCATCCCGTTCTTGTGGAATCCTAAGGTTTCCCAGAACACAATTTGGAAAAGCCCAACCTTGTTAATTAATCCAGGTATTTAAACTCTGTTTTCCTATAACATCTTGTAGGTTATAACGGGTGGGGTAATATAATGCACTGAAGTGATTTTCCCACTAGAGATTTATAACACCCTCATAAGAAGTCATTATTAAAATGATGTAAATTATTTCTGAATTACTGTTATTTTGGCACCAATCAAAGATGTTTTATGTTAGTAGTGCATATATAATCTAAGTCAAGCAAGCAGTAAGTCACACTAAGAAAAAAAGAAAAGAAACTTATGGCTTGGCATGCTTTATAAATCAATTTTAACCTCCATGGATTCTGAAGTCTGGCTTCATGAATCATATGGCAGTCATGGGTAGGGGGTCCTTTGCATAGCTTTAGGTTGTATGTCAGTTGCTCCTGTTCTTGGACTGGGGGACTCAGATCCCACTCACTCATGTCCCTGTGACGTCCAGGCGGGGCTATTGCATGGACTATTGCTCTATGTGGGGCTGCCCTTGAAGAGTATTTGGAAGTTTCAACTGGTACAGAATGTGGCACATGGGCAGTTTCTGGTGCTGGTTATTTGGCACATGTGACACCCCTGCTCTGCAAGTTGCATTGGCTTCCATTTGTTTCATAGTGCAATTCAGGGTTTAAAGTTTTCATGGCTTAGGACTGGGTTACTTATAGGATTAACTCTCTCCAATTGTTTCTACATCCTATGTCCGTTTGGCCTAGGGGTTAAAGCACCAAGCTGGAAACCAGTATACCATGTATTTGAGACCTGTTTTAGGAATGAAAATCTGGCTGGCTGCCTTTGGGCCAGTCACTCTTCTCTTAACCCAACTCCCTTCACAAAGTTTTTGTTGTGGGGAAAATAGGAGGTGGAAGGAGTAGTAAGTACATTGACTGCCTTGAGATTTTTTTTTTTAAATAAAATTAATAAAGATGGGATTCAAACAAAACTTTAAAAAAGAGCATCCTCATGTTCAGTGTGATGTTAGAGCAGGATGGAGATACAACTGCTGGGATGTCACAGAAGAAGTGCTTGATAATAGTGTTTGTATTGTGGCATTTAGCACCAGAAAGAAATAGGATACAATCACCAAGAGAGTAAAACCTTTTTCTGAGCCTCAATTTTCACCAGTTTGCATTTACTTAAACCGAGTCCCATTTGTCATTAGGTTAACCATTCACCCAATTTAAATTGATCCTTCTCGAACTCTCTGCAACTTGGAGTTCTTGAATAATGTAGCATAATCAACAGACTTGGCTGGTTCATTGCTTATCCATAAATCAAAATCTTTTATGACATGTATCAGAGAGGGTAGCAGAAAGACTCTGAGTTAATTATACGGTGGTATTTTCTGTGCCAGCAGGCATTGCTATCATATGGCAAAGAAGGAGATGGTAGTTCTATCAGTAGGTCAAGTGGATGTTGCTGTGATACAGAAAGATCACAGTGGAAGAGGAAGATTGTGTTACCCGGTCTCTTTCAAGGTCTATTCAGTCAACACTCAGCAGTTGTTATAATCCATGATTCAGAATCTGACTCTGACGTGGAATCTGACAATGTTGCTCCAGCTGAGCCTGTGCTTCAGGATGGTCAGCCTCAGGAATCAGGAAGCCAGGATTCAAGTGAGGATGATCAACCATGATAATCTCTTCTTCAGCTGGAGCAGTCAGATGATGAGACCCAACCCCTAAGGCCCAGGTCTAGGCAATCGAGATGCCAGTATGCCTCAATGAGGCTTCTCTCTAAACATAGGGCAAGACATATGTAACTGCAGCCAACTGGCTACAAAGGTTTAAATAGCCTCTTTGCTTGCAGTCTTTGTTGGAGATAACTTTTTGATTTCCTAGCTTTTGCATCTTATTTATGATTCTTGGCCATTGGACCGACCGACTACCCGATTTGGCATTTTGTGACTCTTGGGTGATATTTGGACAATGCTATTGTTTCTTAAACTGTATTCTGCTCTCTTTAAGCAAGCTCTTTCACTCACATTGCTGTCTGACCATTTTGAAACGTGGAGGTTATAGCAGTGATGGATGCTTACCAAGGCAACTGAGTTGACCCATAAGATAGGGAAGATGAGGGAACATTAGACAATCAGTCAAGTGATTTTGTCTTTTAATGGAGGCAGAGTAGTATACCCTTAGGTCTCTTTTTCATCTGAATAATAATGCTTTCCCTTTATGCCAATGTAGGCAATCTGCAGGACACCTTCAGTCAACTGAAGGAGCCTGGTGGTGCAGTGGACTAAACTACTGTTAAAGTAGTATTTAGCTGCCAGCTGCCTGCAATTACTGTGAGTTCAATTCTCACCAGGCTCAAGGTTGACTCAGCCTTCCCTCCTTCCGAGGTAGGTAAAATGAGGAGCCAGTTTGTGGGGGCAATAAGCTGACTTTGTATAAAATAGAACACTGCTTAGGGGGGGCCCAAAAGCCCTACTAAGCAGGTATATACAAAAGTATGAAGACTATTGCTTAAAAGTATTGTAAGCCGCCCTGAGTCTCCGGAGAAGGGCGGCATATAAATCAAACTAATAAATAAATAAATAAATAAACTGGGTTTCATTTGTGTCATTCTAGCATGCTGAGATCACCTCACTGTGATTTGGCAGGAAAATGATTGATTTTCAGTAGTAAGATTTTTGGTAGGCAAATCTACTTCCCATATACTCAATCTCTCCTTATAATGACCTAAAATCATGCCGCCAAACTGCCCTGGTGTGCAATTTTGTACCTTTTAAAATGATTAAAAACCTGGGACCCCATAAACTTACATCATCAGTCATTTTATATTGTCAATCTGTGTAGTTTTCTTGATACATGTAAAATACAGGAGTGGTTTTACCATTACTTTCTCCTGTGCAGCATGAAATGATATCTTTGCTGTTGTTGCTAAAGGGATCATTTACCTCCAAAATCTTCTTGTATTCCTGTTTCCTGATACAGGTGCCCTCTTGCCTTGGCTTGGCAGCTGGAATGACTTTCACATCCTGGATGAGCCTTTTGGGAGGATAAAGGTAGTCCTCGACCTATGACCACAATTGAGCCCAAACTTTGTTGTTAAGTGAGAAATTTGTTAAGTGAGTTTTGCCCCATTTTACAACCTTTCTTGCCATAGTTATTAAGTGAATCACTGCAAGTGATAAGTTAGTAAACCGGTAGTTAAGTGCATCTAGTTTCCCCATTGACTGTGCTTTTCTGAAAGTCATAAAAGGTGATGACTGAATCTTGGGACACAGCAAAAGTCATAAATATGAACCGATTGCCAAGCATCTGAATTTTGATCATATGAGCATGGGGATGCTACAATGGTCATAACTGTGAAAAATGGTCATAAGTCACTTTTTTTCAGTGCTGTTGTAACTTTGAACAGTAACCTGGTTGTTAAGTGAATTTGGCTTCCTCATTGACTTTGCTTGTCAGATGGTCACAAAAGGTGATTGCATGACCTTGGGACATAGCAATGGTCATAACTATAAACCAGTTGCCAAGCATCTGAAATTTTATCACATGGGGATGCTGCAAAGGTCCGTAACTGTGAAAAATGTCATAAGTCACTTTTTACATTGCTGTTGTAGCTTTGAATGGCCACTAAATGAACTGTTGTAAGTCGAGGACTAAGTATGTGCCTGCATAAACTCCTGGAGTTGTCTGCTTTTTTATTTATTTATTTATTTATTAATTTAATTTGTATACCGCCCTTCTCCCAGAAGGGACTCAGGGCGGTGAACAGCCAAAATTAAAAAAACATACAAATGCAAAAGTTAAGATAATTAAAAGAATTAAATCATTGGCTACCCAAATTTAAAACCCCAAATCCATAAAATTTAAAATCCCAATTAAAAAACCATTTAGGCTAGGCCGGCTTGATGAAATAAAAACGTCTTCAGGGCTTTACGGAAGGTCTGGAGGTCCGGGATCAATCGTATTCCAGGAGGCAGCTCATTCCACAGGGCGGGTGCCCCCACAGAGAAGGCTCGCCCCATGTTCCCTCCTAGGAACATTCCCCCCCCCCCACCACCACACACACACACAATGAAGCAGCATATCAGTAAGGTAGGGGGAATCATTCTCATATAGAACTCTAAAACACTTCTTCCAGTATTTCCTTCCTTCAGTTTCATTCAAAATAATTTCATAATTTTAAATTTGAATTCTTAGAGGCTTTTTGTTTCTTCCTCACTACCCACTATCCCATTCCTCCTCTCTCCCCCCTCTCTCTCCATCCAAATCAGTGCACTTTTGCCTTTCTTCATCATAACGATTCCTTGTTTTATTTCAGTTCATGTTTTTTTCTCTTTATATACATTATATACCTTTCATTACTTCTTTTTTTGCAGCAATGGTTCTTTTGTTTGCATGTTTTTCTTAGCCACAGCTTCTTTCACTTTCATTCTACACAGTCTTTTTCATACCTTCCAGAAGCATCATTCCACACAATCTTTCATTAAGCAGATATTTAAAAGTTAACATTCCTCCTCCCTTCTCTACTTTGTCATTTCAAAATAATAAGTTATGTCTTGGATATACAACACAATCCTCTATGCGTATTGTTTCTTGGAAGAAAGTCACCCTGTTCAGTGCTCAGTGCAGTTTTTAATTCTCAGTCTGAGGAAGTGTTATGCCTCAGCAGAAACCCATTTCTTTCTCACTATCCTTTTCAGCGCTTCCTTCACCTCCTTATTCCTTAGGCTGTAGATGACAGGGTTTACCATTGGAATCACTACTGTATAAAAGACAGCAGCAACTTGGTCTTGTGCTTCAATGTCACTTGAGGAAGGCTTCAGGTAGATGAAAAGAATTGTGGTGTAGAACAAGGTAACGGCCATCAAATGGGAGCCGCAGGTAGAGAAGGTCTTCTTCCTTCCCCCACTTGAGTGGATTCTTTGGATAGCAGTGATAATGTAGATGTAAGAGATAAGGATGATGAAGAATGAACACAGTCCTATCAGTGAAGAGATGACAAAAAGCAGAATCTGGTTGAGTTGAGTGTTTGAACAGGCAAGTTTCAGAATTAAAGGTACATCACAAAAAAAATGGTTTATGACGTTGGAGCTGCAAAAGGGAAGGCGAAAGGTAGTGTTTGTGTGTACCATGCCATTGGCACAACCCACAAGGTAGGAAGCCAGCACCAGGCAAATACAAACCTTCTTGGACATGACAGTAGGATACAATAGTGGGTTACAGATGGCCACATAACGGTCATAGGCCATAGCAGCTAGCAGGAGACATTCTACACTTGCAAACACAGCGTAGAAGTAAAACTGAGCAGCACAACCAATGAAAGAAATAGATTTCTTTTCAGCCAAGAAATTCACCAGGGTTTGAGGGACAATGACAGTAGAGTAGCAGAGATCTGAGAAGGACAGGTTGCTAAGGAAAAAGTACATAGGTGTTTGGAGATGGGAGTCAAGACGAATCAGTGCTATCATCCCTAGATTTCCGAGAAGAGTGATCACATAGATGGCTAGAAACACCACGAAAAGAGAAGTGCTGAGCACTGGATTATCTGTGAATCCTACAAGGATGAATTCTGACACTGTGGTTTGATTCCATTGGGCCATGGCATTCGTTCAGTAAGCCTGTAAGACAAAGAAGATTGTTAGGTCCAAGCCCAGAGGATACAGCAAAATCCAATCCAGTCCTTTACTTGATTACCACTAATGGGCAGAATGTTGCTAAACTAGCTACAGTATAACCGTCTAACCTAGTAGATATATCCTGAAAGATTGTAGGATGAAGCTACCCCAACTTCTTTCCCCCTCTCCCCAGGATTGCATACACTCTTAATTTGGGCTTCTCTCTGATGGAAAGTATTCCCTCCTCCTTTTGAAAGCTTTTTGATGCCAACACTCCACTATTTCTCCAGGTGCACATTCTACACAAAGATGGACTGACTCATACTCCCGTAAATCTAAAAAAATGTTAAGAATAGCTTAAAATATATAGCTATTATTATTGCTCATTCTCTTTTATGCTCCTTTTTGTTGCAATTTATCAGATACGTTAAAACAACCTAGGGACACATATAATAATTAAAGATGTAAATGTGATGCTGAATTATACTCCAGATACATGGAATCTAACATTTTATGAAGAATTCAGCAAAGAAAATGGTCCTATAGAGATTTTTTTTAAAAAAGTATGCTCCTGGTATTAAACTGTAGAATTGAGAGATGGGTTCTTTTATCAGTTTTGAACATATCTGTATATTGTACAAATAAGAAGATGGAACACCATGTTTCCATATGGTCTAGATTTAAATAATATGCTAATGAATTTAGTTACTGCAATATTAATATTATATGGCTCATTTTTCCCCTTCAGTTTTAGTTCATGCTAATCACTATTTTGTATATATTTTTCTGATTGTATTACCACTGTTGCATTATTATTAGGATATACATATTACAAAATAAATAAGTATCCTCCCCCACAATGTAAAATAAATCTTTGTAGGTCTGTCTACATCGTAGTAAACATCAAGACCAAAAAGCATATGTGGAAAAATCAAAGGGCTCACACCCATCATAGTACTGGCACAAGCACATACTGGAAATAAATAGACGATAAACAAACTTCAACCAATTTGATTTTGCAAAATTTTAGAACACAGCTGCCACTTGTGAATTTTTAACATTTTAAATGTTTGAAAATGCATTGCACTTGAAATGAAGAACGTTGTTAGAAACATATTATCAAGGGAAGCTTTACTGGGTTTAGACTGTGCTTAATGAACTCCTATTAGAAGCTTTTAACATTTTATTTTAAAAATCATTACTAGTGAATAGGATAGAGGATAATGCATTCTTTTTGCTTAAAACTAAGACTACCCTATCCCAACAGGCATCACTATAGCCTATCTATCTGCTGCCTAAAAGAAAAGGGCACCAAAAAGCATTTCTCTTCAATTGATGTGCACTGTCACATTCAGGTCCAAATATACTTGCAGACCACCCAAAACCTGAGTTTGCAGTGTGGGGAAAAGAAGACTGAAGGGAAACACAATGCATATGCTCAAGTACATTCAAGAAAATGCAGAGAAAATGGGCAGGAAGTAACAGGTGGAAGTTGCAGTTATCTGGAACAGTCAAACCATGAAAAACATCCATTTCTGGAGGTTTTTAAGAAGGGGTTAGACAGCCACTTCTCAATGGCTGAATTGGTATTTCTGCATATTGCAGAAGGTTGGATTAGATGATCTGTATGACCTCTTCCAACTTTAGATTCTGTTACTCTATGAAAATTGCCCATGCTTAACCTCGTCTGAAGATATAGATGGGCAAACCATTTCTTGTAGGCAGTGGGTGGACTCACTCCACCCCTAGTTTTTGCAACTCCCCTCACAGGTATAGCGTAGGTATGTTAAATCTTGCAGCTTAATCTTTTCCAATCAATGACAAAGGAGAGAGGGGGAATTCAATTTTAAAAGGAACGTGCAGCTCTTGACTGGAGAAATAGTTCCCGCTATTATGGAATCAGCCACAGATGCCACAGCTAGAGCACAATAGCTTGCTCTCTAAGAAAGGACATTGATATTTACTTTCCTCTGAGGAAGATGTTGTGGGGTGACATCTGATACAGCTGCAACTTATTCATAGCAACAGAAACCATTCATAAGCATTCTTATGATTGATAGTAATATCTCTGTGTAATCTTTTATTTTGATTGAATCTGTGGAGAGAGATATTTGCTCCAGTTCTGAATGAATGATGTTTGAAGCCAAAGCTGATCTATCACATGAATTTTCACTGAGTATGAAATATGTTCGGAAGGATCTTAGCTCTGGCCTTGTACTTATCTCATTATAAATCAATGGAACTACTTTGGAACATGTTTCAGAGGGGTTGCCATGCTAATCCATTCTAGAAAAAACAACAGATAAGAGTCTTTAAAGCAAGTAAGCGCTAAGGTGCAATGTGAATTCTGACAAACTGTTACTCATTGTTGTGCGGTCTCTACAGGTTTCTCTTCATTTTTTTTAAGCATTGCATTTTTTTTTTCATCTGAGAGATCTCATAGGATTAATTCTCCTGAAGCCTCTGAAAAGTCTGGTGGCATGACAACAAGTTAGCATGGAATAACAGGAACTAAATATCCAGACTGCTGTATAACATAATTATTTCATAGGTTTAAGGAATTGAAAAGTTTGTGACATTGCTCAAATTATATTTTTAAAGTAATATTTTGCAAAGACTTACTTATTCTGACATTCACAGAAAATTGAGATTTGTAAGGAATCAAACCCTCATCTACACTTGTTTAAAATTAATGTTGAGATCGATTTCTTTTTAAATGGGCATGTTGTTACTGTTATTGAAAATATCAAAGAGCAAGACTTTGGACTTTACTCTCTGTCTCCTCACCTCACATTCCTTCAGGCCACCCCTGATTCATTTCAAGTCAGGAATTAAGACTGGAATTTGGAATAGATAGTTCTGGGATTGTGAAGGATTTTTTCACGAATAATGCCATGAACCCACAGTTGGTTCAAAATATTTTGCCTCTTGAGACAAAGAAGAAAACAACATCTCTTCTTCCATTCCTTCTACAAGACTTAACTGAGCTGACAATAGAATGTTTAACATTGATATGAGGGCAATATTTCCATCACTCTTGTAGGCACTATACAATTTAAAATCCATGGTCAGATTTCAAGTATAACATTCTCTCCTTCAGTATCTTACTAATGCTTCCCTGGAGGAACTACAGCACTTTGTCCAAAGATAGGACTAGTTTATATTAATTTAGTAAAAAATCTTACAAGTTAAATATTTTAAAAAGGCGGCCCCTCTAATAATAAGGAAGACATCAATTACTTAGTGAAAGAATCTAAAACCACTTTCTGAAGCTCTACCTCTTTACATAGGACATGTTTTTGCTTGATCTCTGGCCAAAGGAAAGCAAGCACTGATGTGGACACAAAACACAAAATATACTCTGCATAATCCTGAAAGTGACTTTATAAAGTAGAACTTGCTATTTTTGAAAGCCAGTAGCATTGTTCATGTTTAACCATTAAAATAGCCCTTAACTATCTTCTATAAAGATTAGAACATTATAGAAAAGAAAACATTCAAACGTTTGAACTTTGATCAAATAAAACTGTGTCAGTTTCATGGAAAGAATAGTTGTTGCTTAAGAATGCATGAATTTAATAAAAGAACAATGCTAATGTCTAATGGTATTATTTCTCTCAATGCTTTTGGGAAAGGAAGGGTAAGAGTCATTTTCTTTTCACACTTGAAATTAAAATTATCAATTTATCCCGATAAGGCAATAAAGGCAAATGTTATCACTCTTTTTTTTTTAAGCCCAGCGGTTGGAATTTCAGTAGGTGTTGCTTTCCTTGCCTCTGTAGGAGGAATAACACCTGCCGATATTCTATACCTCTTCATTTTTGCATTGTGACATCCTAAATTCCACTTTTCTCTCAAGTTCTTTTATCAAAGACTCTGGCCAAATGACACAAATGAAGGTAGAATTTTGTAATGCTCCTGTGCTGCAAATTAATTCTGAACCAATTTTAATTGTTTGGGGAGGAACTAACACTTCCCAAGCACAATATAAAACATCTAAAAGTCTAATGGGGAATCTGCCTTTGATGCATGCTGTAAATTCTCCTATCTTTCATTCCATCCTATGGATGAGGAAAAGGAGATTGTCTGTTTGATTAGGTTGTTCTTTTAGAGTCAATTAGCATCAGTTTACACTTACCATTTATGTCACAGCTCGTCCTTTTTTTTTTGCTTCTGATAGAGAGTCTCATAAATATTTACAACAATTCTGGGCCTCTACACTCTTTCTTTTAATATTAAATCTATGGAAAGACATATTTCTTTTCCTCTATATCCTCCTGTCTACTTTAGCTCTGCCACTACATCTCACTAAGAACAGCTTTGGAGCTCCTCCCTATTTATGGGCTTTTATCATTAGAGACAAATCTTTATATGGTGGATTTGTGACCTTGGGTCCTCCTCCCTGAGGATCTCCTACCCTCAGCAGCACAGATGAAGGAATGATGGCTATTAATTTGCTTATTTCAGAATGAAATAAATACAAAGCGGATGTTGCATCTATATTTAGACCACAGAGATATTAGCAGAATTAGCAGCTAGACTGCTAATTCCCAAACTGAATTAATTTAGTGGTGACCAGGATCAATTTAAGGAATTTGGAGACCCAATGCAATTGCCAACCCTGCAAGGTACACCAGATATGAAAATGAAATTCACAGGAAGACTAAAATAATATTTTATTGGTAGTGTATAATAACAGAATCTTCAAGTTTGACTGTGCTTTTCCTCCTTTCCCTTTTGTATCCAGGGTCTCAGGTAGTGGTGGTTTTCTACTGATTCACCCCAGTGGTGGGTTCCTCCCGGTTCCGCCTGGTTCCGCCGAGCCGGTAGCGGTGACGATATGACCTCACAGAACTGGTTCTGCCCCCCCGCCCCCACCCCTCACGTTATTCTTACCTTTTATTTGGCCCCACCACCAATCTATTGCTGCTTCCTGAGTCCCAGCTGATGGCTAGAGGGAAAAAAAACTGTTTAAACTCCTGCCGCAGGGCTTCAAAGGGCCACCCTACAGCTGATCAGTGTTAAAAGAAAACAAATGAGTAGACCGGTGCCTGCAAAAATACATGAGTAGATCAGTGCCTGCAAAAACAAATGGGTAGACCGGTACAGCTCTGCAAGCAGTTAAAAGCCTGGTAGACCAGTACCTCTGCTAAATCCTAAATAATTGTCACATGACCATCAAGCCACACCCACAAAATAAACCACGCCCACAGAACCGGTAGTAAAAAAATTTAGAACCCACCCCTGGTTCACCCTGGTTCAAGCGAACCAGTAGCGGTGGCAGTGGGAGGCTCCGCCCACCCGCCTGGACATCATCACAGATGCTCTGCACATGCACAGAAGGTTCTGCGCATGTGTAGAAGCACCACGTGCGAGCTCAGTTCCGAACCAGTAGCGAAGGTAAGTGAAACCCACTTCTGGTCTCAGGGTACTTCTTAATACTGTTTCTATTCCCAGCACTTAAGGAATGCTTTTGTCTTCGTTGCTTACACAACAGTTTTGGTATGTTTGCTTCAAAATGACTTCCCTGGCTTTCTATACCACCCAACACACAACCCTAGCGTGATACTGCAGATGGGTTCTTCCAAATGAGATGGAAGTGGAAACAGTAGTAGGTTTACTTGCATTGACAAACTAATTTGGGAACACGGATCATGTAATAAAATCCTACTTAGAAGAATTATGCCATTGGCCTGATCTAAGACTGTGGACTTGGCTTGCTTCAAATCCCCTTTGGCCTGATTTTTGTGTGGCCAAGATGCATCCTGCTTAGCCCTAGACTTGACCTTGACCCCTTGAAAATCTTTTTAGCTCAGTCTACCCACAGGCTAACATAGAGCTGCCTTGGCCAGCAGGTAGACTTTTCAATTAGTCTGTGACAAATATGAAGCACTTTCTCAGGAGTAGAGTGACAAGGACAGGCAACGTTCCCCCCCCCACTTTTGCATGTCCGTTAGTTACATCTTACTGTTGTTCTGCTACAAGCTCTGCTTTTCTGAGCGACAGTGCAGCTATATGTTATGACTCCTGAAACTGGCACTAGTTGTGACTCAGGATAGTCAACATGTTCACTTCATATGTGATTGCTCACTGTGAACTGAATATCATTTTGCTACGTGAGCTCGTTATCAAATTACTACGTGAGCTCTTTACCAAATTTCTTCCAAATTCTTATTCCTTTTCTAGAAAGTTAAGAACTGACTATGATATCAGACTATTTGAAAAGCAAATGAAAATTAATTGAAATATTGTTCAACATTATTATTGTGATTACATGGGAAATAACACACAGGTGACAGAATTCATACTCACTGGGTACTCACTGAGTATATTCATACTCATGGGTAACAGAGGACTCACAGTTGCAGCTCATCCTCTTTGGGACATTTTCTGCTGTTTATGCAGAACAAATTCTCGGTTCTCACCAAATAATAACAAAAGATTGTGCCTCAGCCAGCTCCACAGGATCTGCACTTTTCAGAGTTCAGCTCCTAGTGAAATCACATCAACAAGGTATTACAAGTGTTTAACTATTTAGTTTCCAACTCAGTATAGGTTTCTAAATATTTTCTCTGAATGATTCTATTACTATTTTGAACAGTTTTGTTAATATATGTTTTTTTATTTTAAATAATAATAAAAACCACATTTTTGAAAAGCATTGTCTGTCTACATGAGGTACAACATGTGTGGGGAAAGGATTTGATAAAATACTATTAATAAATAAAGTGAAAGAGAGAATGTGATATCTACTGAATACTACATTTTCCACTAGTAAATATTTCAAATTGTAATTTGATTTATTTAATCCTCACTGTGTAATTAACACAAATTAGTAGATGGAACAGTTTGTAGCACTTCAGGGAGATGTTTCCCAAACCAATAATTTTCTCAGTAGAATTATCTACTCCATCACTCCAAAGAGAGTTGAAGGAAACATTAATGTCTGCAGAAGTGTATAAAGCTGTTGAGTTACTGAAGATTGAAGGAAAATATTTGAATTGTTTTTAGAGCTGCGTAAATTTCAAAAATCTGCAGTCTGAAGCTTGAAAAAAATACAGATATTTTAATATGTGAAGGAAGTTGTTGAGTTGCAAGAAAACAAGTGAGTTTGATAACCAAAAAGCAACTATAGATTTGTTGTATTTTATTGTTTGTGAGAGTTTCCTTTAGGAGTTTATGGGATGACAAGTTATTGTTACTTCAAAGAGAATTGACTGTGTGTTCAGAGAAGGTTCAGATCAAGCCTGTATGTCATGCATATAACCATTTAAAATTTTAAATATGGTGTTTTATATAGCTCATAATGCATCAGAAACCATGGGAAGCATGGCAATCTAAGAAGACCTCAAAAATTGCATCTTTTTTAAAAAAATCCCTTTATATATTAGGAAATTTAGAAGTTCAGTGAGGAATTATCATATTTATTTATTTATTTATTTATTTATTTATTTATTTATTTGTTTGTTTGTTTGTTTGTTTGTTTGTTTGTTTGATTTATATGCCGCCCTTCTCCGGAGACTCAGGGCAGCTTACAATGCGTTAAGCATTGTACTTATGTTACTAGGCACATAAAATATGAGAGTTAGTATTGTTCTCTATTCGGAATTCATTTGATCATTTCAAGAAATGAGGAACCCAAGTAGTCCAAAGATCAGCTTCTACAAGTCATAGAACATGTAGATTCAGCAATGAATCAACAAAACAATATAGTTTATAACAATATATAGTTGAAAGCAGCAAGAAACTTTCTTCACTTAGATTGCTAATTCTTTACTGCAGCTTCTGAAAATATCTTGTGGAAAAAAAAGTCAATACAAACCATATTTTGCTCTGATACCTTTTTGATGTCTTCCCAGGTTTAAAAGAGAGTTCCTCAGCTCGAAGATTTCAGTAGCACTCCCTTGGTCATTAATTGTCTTTAATAGTTCTGTGGAGAAATTTATTCATGGGCAGAAACTATTTTAATCACAAATAGTATGTTATATCCAATCTGCCCTTTTATGTAGATAGATATTGTTATTAGATGGGAAATTGATTCTGATCGCAGACTACAATACAAATATTAAAAAAACAAAGGGAAATTGACTGAAATCTTACTGTGATTACATGGGAAACAACACACCGGTGACAGAATTCATACTCACTGGATTAACAGAGGACTCACAGTTGCAGCTCATCCTCTTTGGGACATTTTCTGCTGTTTATGCCATCACCCTGGTGGGAAACCTAAGCATGATTATCTTAATCAGGATCAGTCCTTCTCTCCACACACCAATGTACTTTTTCCTAACCAGCTTATCTTTTTTGGATGTTTGTTACACCTCATCTGTCACCCCAAACTTTCTATCCAATCTTTTAAAAGAGAAAAAAAGTATTTCTTATGGGGGATGCTTTACTCAGCTCTACTTTTATGCCCTATTTGGAACCACAGAGTGCTACCTTCTAGCTGTGATGGCCTATGATCGCTATGTGGCAATCTGCAATCCACTACTCTACTTGGTGATAATGTCCCAAAGGAAGTGTCTTCAGCTGATAGCAGTTGCCTATATTGCTGGGTTCATCAATGCTTCTGTGCACACAGTGACTGCAACTACTAGACTGTCCTTTTGTGGTCCAAACCTCATTAAGAGTTTTTATTGTGAGGGTCCTCCCCTTTTTGCTCTTTCCTGCTCAGATATCAGTCTTAATTATCTGTTGGTATTTGTATTTGTTGGCTTCAATTTAATAACAACAAGCCTGACTGTTCTCACCTCCTACACTTATATCCTGGTCACCATTTTAAAGATCCGTTCTGCCACGAGCCGTAAGAAAGCCTTCTCCACTTGTACATCTCACCTCATGGTCATCACCATTTTCTATGGATGTCTCAGCTTTATGTATGCACGGCCAAGCTCTAGACCAAATTATAACCTAGACCAAATGGCCTCTGTGTTCTATGTAGTCATGACCCCCATGCTCAACCCATTAATCTACAGCATGAGGAACCAGGAGTAAGAGGTGCCTTCAGAAATATCCTAGGACGAAAAGTTGATACTCAACATATATGATTGTCATTGTCAAAATTAAGAATTAGATCAATTTGTTCTAGTAGCAAATGGTTTATATCACTCTGTATTATTGAATAAAAACTATTAAGCTATATAAATTTCCATTAGTAACTATATGAATCTTTGAGTTC